GCCATCAATTTGGTACAATGAATAAGAATGCTCCAATTATTTCTAAATTCAGGCATTATTGTTATGTTAACAGATACAGTGCTGTTGAGCTTGGGAGCAGAAAGAAAACAACCAGGGTTTCTGCTTCAGATTGATATTTAGTGACATCCCACGGTGAAATGTGGGCTTTAGATGAAGACAGTGCCCATATTATTTGTGATGCTGTCTGCAACTGAATATTCCGGCAATTGAACAGGTAAAAGAACAGTTCACTGTAAAAATAATACACTTAAGGCTATTAGGGAGCTCACTGTTCTGTTCCAAATGGCAAAACATCATTCTGTCCTCATTAAAATTGGTATGTTTAACATCTTGCATGCATCTGCCCTGTAAAAAAATTAAATGAACCCTTTTTAATCAGTAACTGGTCTCTTCAAATCTGTAATCACAATCAACCATTTCATCCTCTGTCAAAGTGACACAGCTGCTTTAATTGCCATTGGCTGGTATTCTCATTGTGGTTTCCTACCAGCAATGTCTTTTGCAGCACCGATTTTACTGAACAATGAACAGTGGTATAAAACATTACCAATATTGCTTCAACTAGAACCACTGAGAATATTCCAACAGAGTATTACACATGAACACCCCATGTTAGTCATCTTGCACTGACTGAATTTAAAAGAAAAATCACCATAAAACTAAGCAAGAGCATTTCCCATGCTCAGTTCAGCATTTCTGGAACCAATTAAATTGAAATATTATCTGAATTATTCCACAACTCATTGCAGCCAAATCTCGACTGGAATACGGACATTGCTGGTTCCTGTCTGGGTAAAAATAACTTTTTTTTTGCTTTAATTATCTTATTAAGCATTTGTTAATGAGCAGGAATGTCTGCAACTTGCTGGCATGGCATGGGGGTCAAACTGATTTCTGTGAAGATGTTGGCAGAAAAACTTCAACAAGTTCACATGATTGGAGAGTTCCTGATCTGAAGGAGAACTAAGCTTTGGACATCAGAACAATCTGTAAATCATACCATCCCAAACAGAAAAACTTCTCCACTCTGGAATGGGGTCTGGAATCCTCTGCCTGAAAGGTTGCGAGAAGCATATTCAGCAACAACATCCAAAAGGGAAATGGATATATACTTGAAAAGTAAAAATTGCAATGCATTGGAACTAATTGGATAGTTCCATCAAAGGTCAGACATTGGTACAGGCGGATTGTAGTATTGCTTCCTCTCTGCTTTATGATGCCATGTTTTAATAATGTAAAAAGGAGAAATGCAAATGGTCAAAGTCAGTGATGAAATCAGAAGATCCTGGGCAAAACGCAAAAGAGCTTGCCCGCTCCTCAAATTGAAAGAGAGACTAGTATTTTAGATTGAAACTGCTTAATGAAATTGAAGAGAACTTCAACTTGAAACAGCTAGCTGTATTTGTCCATCAGATGTTCATACAAATGTTGCACGTTTCTAAGACCTTTGTTTTATGGTTCATTATACTGTATTAACTCTAAAAAAAAATTCCTCTCATGGTTTTATCTGCAATGACAAGGTAATACTACCGTATCGTCTGTGTTCGAAATTTATGGGCTCAAGAGTTACACTTGACACTTGGGCACATAATTCAGGATGACATGATCAGTGAAAGGGAGTGTTGCACTCTTACAGTTTATAGCACAGAAAGAGACCATTGTCAGGTGACAACTTTCAGATGTGACAGCAGACAAAGAGTAACAGGAGGTTGGAAAAGCACAGCAAGTCAGGCAGGATCTGGAGGAAAGAAGCAGTCAATGTTTTGCGTATTACCCTTCTCCAGTCCTGAAGAAGGGTAATACCCAAAATGTTGACTGCTCCTTTCCTCCAGATGTTGCCTGGCTTGCTGTGTTCTTCCAGCCTCCTGTTTGTCTACCTGGATTTCAGTATCTGCAGGTTTTTTTGTCTCTACACAAAGAGGACTATCTTCTCAGGTAGACACAAAAGATCTTCTGGCAATTTTTCAAAGATGAAAATGGGTGACTTCTCCTTGGTTTAATGCCCAATATTTATCCCTCAGTCAACATGACAAACAGATTAGATGGTTATGTTTAACGACTGCCATCATTGGCACTTTCACTTCACAAAACCATACCATCTCCTGTAGAAAGCTGGTGAGGACAAGATAAATAAACAACCAATGCAAAGAATGACTACCTGGGTAAGGGTAAATGCTTGGTAGAGTCCTTTATGAAGCAAACTGAAATATTAGAAGTGATAGCTGAGATTCAGTTCACTGTGACAGCATTTTCTTGGAGAAATATTAAAATGAATCATTAAATTTCTTGTTTGGGAAACATTAATGTAAAACTTTTAAAAATAATGCATTTCTGAAATGATGTTCAAACCAAAAATGGTTCAAGAGTGGAAACAAATAAAATGGATGTCAACAACCATATCAACAAGGTACAGAGTTGTGTAGTCAGTTATGAAGGGAAGTAGAAATTGTTTCAGACAAAATAATTTATGGAACCATTCAATTTTTCCAACATCTTAATAACAAAACTTCTCAAGGTGTTTCACAGGATTGTTACCAAACAAAATTTGCCGCCAAGTTACATAAGGAGATATTGGACTCAATCTTCCGAGCACATGAAGGTTCTTTTAATCTGATGCTTCCACACATTTTTTTCCAGGATCTACCAAACCCAGCTATCATAGAAATACACAGAGCAGTGTCCCTCAGGGAAATATAGTGGAGCAGAGGGAAGACAGGACACACAACCTCTTACAGCACTAGTTCCTGTATTCTGTATGGTAAGTTTAAAGGTCTAATCTTTTGTGTGTGGGTTAGCCAAAGCATGTGTGAATGATTGATTGGGTGGGATGGCTAGGTGGATAGATGGGAAAGTGAACGGACGGAGAGTTGGGTAAGAACATAGATGGGGGATGAGTGAGTAGGTGGATAGGTAGGTGATGTGGGTCGGTGAATAGGCTGATGAGTTGGTTAGGAGGGTGAGTGGAAGGTGGGCAGGTGGATGAGGTGACTGAAGGTGAATGGTTGGGTAGGTAGACGAGTGATTGGATAGATGAGGCAAAGAAGCATAGGGAAGGCAAACACTGGCAGGATCCTCCTTATGTTAATAGAGAGACAAATACAAGACCTCAAGTCAACACCTTTGCTCTGGCCATTTGCACCTGCTTGACTTTGCCATCATTAGCAAGCATTTATTGAAAGCAATCCTTTGAGGATCTCCTCGAAATGAGTGCCCTTGACTACATCTTACAGCATTTGTCTTTATTCATTCATGGAATGTGGGTGTTGCATTTATTGCCCATCCCTAATTGCCGAGAGAGCAGTTAAAAGTCAACCACATTACTGTGAGACTGGATTCACATGTAGGCCAATGCAGTTAAGGACAGCAAATTTCCTTCCTTAAAAGGCATTAGTAAACTAGATGGGTTTTTACAACAATTGGCAATGATTAAATAGTCATCATTGAGCAAACTGGAAAAGACCATAACAGACCATAAGACATAGAAGCAGAAATTATGCCATTTGGCCCATTGAATCTGCTCAGCCATTCAATCATGGCTGATAAGTTTTTCAACCCCATTCTTCTGCTTTCTCCCCATAATCTTTGATCCCCTTGACAATCAATAACATATCTATTTCTGTCTTAAATATACTCAAAGACCTCACCCCCACAGCCCTCTGTGGCAATGAATTCCATAGATTCACCACTCTCTGGCTGAAAAGTTTCTCCTTATCTCCGTTCTGAAGTGTCTTTCCTTCAAGGCTGTGCTCTTGGGTCCTCTTCTCTCCTGCCAGTGGAAACATCCTCCCAAAGTTCACTCTGTCCTGGCTGTTCAGTATTCTGTAAGTTTCAATTAGAAACCCCCTCATCTTTCCAAAAGAAGCATTCACGAAGATGCAAACCACCTCCAACATTTCCAACAGGCCCACATGCAGGCCAAGCATAAATAATGGAAAGCGTGGGCAAAAGGCCCAGCATCCCATTTGCCTCTGGATGAGTGGCTGAGTGGACAGATAGGTCAGGGAGGTAGGTGAACAGTAGGTAGTTGAGTTAGAGGTGGGCAGGTGAATGCAGTGAGGAGGTAAGTGGTTAGATGGGTCAGGTAGATGAGTGGGTAGTCAAGTCGGAATGGTCATAAGGTCCGATCATGGTGGTTGTAGGGGAGGTAATGAGATCAAGGTAGTCGATAGTTCTGGTTGGGAATGTTGGAGTTGGTGTAGTCAGGTCAAAGGGTTTGTCGAGCAACTGGACTTAACTGGGACTGGGGTCAGTTCTAGAATTAGACAACGTTTTAACCTGCCTTATATTTCCTCCCTAACTATTGAGTTAAGCTGGATGGCACTGTTCCAATTCTCTTGACTCTCACTCAGAGATGTTCGCAAAATGTCACAGGAAACAGGGGACTTCTCCACCAGGAGTTTAAACAGCATGGACAACTTCCGTGTGAGTTCCAATGTCATGACCTGTGCTAAGTCATTAGATAGATCTTCAATTGTATGCCCAGTCTCCAACAATCTGGAGTTCAGAAAATTTCAGTCATAAGGTCAGGTGACCAAAAGCTTGGTCAAAGAGTTAAGTTTTACGGAGTACCTTAAAGGAGGAGAGTAATAAGAGAGGCAGAGTGGTTTAAGGAAGGAATTCCAGAATTGGTGAACCGTCTGAAAGAATAATATGTGGTGATTTTGTTTTAAAATATTGACTATAAAGTAAATATGTTTAATAGTGCATTACATTCTTCTGTGGTTTGGTTCCCCTGTTGCTGGAAGTGGTGTGTGAATTTGTTATTCTAATGTTGTTGGAATGTGCTTGAAAATTTTGATTTTGAAGCAACATTTAAAGGCAAAGCTATGTGAACTAAACAGGCAGTAGTATTTATAATCTGTAGGTTATATGCAATCCATTTCATGGAAATATACAGTACAAAATGTTTACATTACAATACGACAGAGCCAATGGAAGTACCCTTGTGAGAAGGATTGTGAAAGTGGCAAGAGTTGTACCTTTCTGAATCTTCTGATGAAAGTTTATTGCGTCAACAGATGCAGTCACAATGTTGGTCTTGCAATGACGAGCTGCCACAATACCGGCTACCTCATCCATCAATTTCATAGTGACACCTGTAAGGAAAAATCCATTTAAATAGGAACATACGAATAGAAGTAGGTCATTCAGCTTGTTGAGCCTGCTCTGCAATTTAATATGAACATGGCTGATCAAACGCTTCAATGCCTTTTACCCACATAATTCCCACAACACTTTATAGCATTTGTAGTCAGAAAGAAATCAATCACTACTTCAAACATACAGAAAGATTCAGCTTCCACACCCCTGTGGGGTAGAGAATTCTACAGATTCATAACCCTCTAAGTCAAAACATTTCTACTCATCTCAGTCATAAATGACATCTCCCCTAACTTTTAAATCATGTCCTTGGTTCTAGAGTTCCCACCCAGGGAAACATCTTACCTGCATCTACCCTGTCTATCCATTTAAGTATTTTTTTAGGTCTCAATGAGATTATCTCTCATACTTTGAAACTCTAAAGAATATAGGCCCAGCTTGCACAATCTCTCTTCATTGGAAAGTCTCACTATCCCAGTGAATCTTTGTTGTACTGCCTCCATGGCAGTAATATCCTTCCTGAGATACAGAGATCATAGTCCTGAAGACAATACTTCAGATCCAATCTAACCAAGCTCCTGTACAATTGAAGCAAGACTGCTCTTTGAACTCAAATCATCTAACAATAAAAGCCATCATTCTATGAACCTTTCTAATAGCTTGCTGTACCTGCATACTAGCCTCCAGTGACTTATTCACAAGTACACCCAGGTCTTTTTATACATCTACACTTTTCAATCTCTCACTATATAAAAAATTCACTGTACATCTGTTCCTCCTACCAAAATGGATAAGCTCACAATTGTCTACATTACGTTCCATCTGCAATGTTCCTGCACTCTTTAAGCCTGCCCAAATCATCCTGATGCTGCTTTACATCTTCCTCAAAAAGCATATCCATGCTTAATTTTGTATAATCTGCAAATTTGGAAATATTATATTTGGCCCCCATGCCCAAATCATTGGTATCTATTGTGAGCAGCTGGAGTCCAAATAATAACCCTTGAGGTACTCACTAATCACAGTCTGCTGATACAAGAATAATCCAGTTATTCTTACTCTCTATTTTCTGTCAGTTAGCTAATCCTTAATTCATGCCAGTGTATTACCTCTGACCCCATGTGCTTTAATTTTGCTAACCAACCTCCTGTGGGGGATTTTATTAAAGGCCATCTGAAAATTCAAGTACATTAAGTTCATTGAGTGACCTTTATAAATTTTAATTAGTAACATCCTCAAAGAAATTCCAACAAGCCTGTCAAACATAAGTTTCCATTCATAAATCATACAATGCCCAACCAGATCATTTTTATCCAAGTTTCCATTTAATACATCCATTATGATAGATTCTAGCACTTTCCTTGCTACTGATATAAGGCTAACAGGTCTGTTGCCCTATTTTCTTGTTTTTTTTAAATAGTGGGGTAACATTTGCTTGCTTCTAATCTGCAGGAATCATTCTAGCATCTATGCAATTTTGTAAAGTGATCACCATTGCATTGACTACCTCTATAGCCACTTCCTTCAATATTCTGGGATATCAACTATCAGGTCCAGGGGGCTTATCAACTGTCAGCCACATTAACTTTCCCAGTATAACCTTCTTACAAATACTAATTTGCTTCAACTCCCCATGGTCCATAGTCACTTGGATTTCTAATTGTGGGACATATCTTGTATCGTGTTCAGTGAAAACAGACACAAAGTAATCATTTCTCTATTTCCTTTTATAAAGTTTCCTGACTCTGCTTGTAATTGACACATTTTTGCCCTACCCAAATATTTCTATTTAAATATATGTAGTGTTACAATGGGAATGGCCGAAATCCTCTGATAAGTCAACTAAAACACAAGCCCCGACCTGTTACGACAGGAATGCGGGGTTTGCCTCTAATTATTACACCCAAAACACCCAGAGAAGCTCATCTTTCCCCTCTTAATCTATAAGAGTGGTTAAAAGAAAGAAAATCCTTGATCTCCACTTTACAAATAACACGAAACAATTTATTTGTTTAACCTAACAATGAACAAATTAACAGAATTACTAATAAACCGAATAATTCCCCCCAGACTACTAACTGCTCCCTAACTGGTCTAAATTCTACTGGAATGCTGTTCAAATAAAGACAAGTCCCACTGATGTAAACCCAATTAATAAGAAGCAATATATCAAATTAATCTCTCCAAGTTCACACAGACTGTCTTCTGGAATATTCTGTTGTCTCCAGTGTCTTCAACAAACACCTTTCTTCCGTTAATTCTGCAGTCAGGAATGTTCTATCTCTATAATTTCTTCAGTGAGGACTTTGAGCTAAAATACCATAGTACCTTTAATTAATTAGATAGGCTTTCTCTGAGAGCTGAATGGTGCTACCCCTGGCAGGTGGCCGTTGTCTCTCTCTTTCAGATGGCAGTTGGCTCTCTCCCGTTTTCCAAATGCCCTCGTCTTATATACCCATAACAACATAACCAAGTTCTTATAATATGATTGGCTTCAGGTTGTCAACACCATCAGTTTTTAAATTCAATTGGTTTTGAATTGCTGAGTTTGGTTTTAAATAAATTGGCCAAATTCAAACTCGTCACAACATCAAAACAGTTCTGAGGAAGGGTCACCGGACCCGAAACGTTAACTCTGTTTTCTCCTCCACAGATGCTGCCAGACCTGCTGAGCTTTTCCAGCAACTTTGTTTTTGTTCCTGATTTACAGCATCCGCAGTTCTTTTGGTTTTTATCAAAACAAGATTGCTGTTTGGCCTACCACCTGTAAGGCATTTTAGATTCACTTGTTTCGCTTTTTGAGGCTCTCTGTACTGGCAACTTCAGCTGCTGCTCACAGACATTTTTTTAAAATTTCCCTAAGTACAGACAAAATACAAATCTCTTAAAGGAACCACAAGTTTTAGCCTCCTGCCTTCCACTTCACAATTACTCTACCCAACTTCATAACAGTGGAAACTTTTACAGTTCATATTTTTAATCTTTTATTCTGCTAGATTGCATTCACTGTATTCAAATAATGTACATGGTATAAACAAATGAACAAACATTTCACTTTAACATTTAATTATCATTATTTAAAGACATTCAGTGGATCCTTCCCGTCACTTAATTCAATACTCCTCACTGTTCCACTTACTGTCCTTCTTATTGACTCTCTAGCTGATCCAGTCGCAACTCTTGAATCTCCACTGACTCCGTTGCCTTCCTCACCAATTTCCTTGTTGTCCTCCTTCCCAAGCAAAGTGGCAGTGACCACAGAGCAAGGGAGACAGATACAGGAAGTGGAACAGGAAACGGAACAGCAAACAGGACTGTACACAGGCCGGTGAATAAATCAGTGAATGGCACAGTAAAAGGGGGGATGGCCATGAAACAATTACAACAGCAGCATCCGTTTCTTGTTGTAGTGTGCAGCCAGATGTGCCAGTATAGTAGCAGGTGACACAGTGGTGGTGGAAGCAAAAACCTTTGAACAATATAACAGATAAAGGACCTCAAACTTAATGACAGACTTACACCACCTTTCAATAACCTCACGAAGTCCCAAGTGCTTGATAGTTAATGAAGTAGTTTTGAAGTGTAGCTGCTGTTGTAATGAGAGAAATGAAACACCCAAAGTGCACATAGCAAGGTATAATAAACAGCAATCTAATAATAACCAGGTTTTTTTTAGGTCTAATTTAGATATTTAACAGGACAATGGGTAGAACTCTCCTGTTCGTCTTCAAAATAATTCCACCCGAGATTAGATAGTGTTTCCATTTGGTCTCAGCACTGCACTGGATTGTAAACCTAGACATTGCACTGTAGTTTGTGGAATGCATCTTGAATCCACAATCTTCTGACTCATATATATGAGTGATGCCATTGAGTCATGGCTTTCCCTCCCCATTAGGCCATGGTTGATGAGGTAAGTTAGACAAATGACCTATATATTGTCCTTGTGTTTTTATGTGGACTACTGTCCCTTATGATGCATAAAAGCCTTACTTTTAAATTATATTTTTTGCCAGTAGGCTTGCTAAGTCATACATCAGCAGATAACTGTTATATAATCATGTGTTATACAAACTCTCCCATTTTATACATAGATGCTCTCCGAATTATATGGAAGTTAATTTATTTTAGAAAACAATCTCGTATTCAGAGATAGTAGGAACTGCAGATGCTGGAGAATCCGAGACAACAAGGTGCAGGGCTGGATTAACACAGCAGGCCAAGCAGCATCATAGGAGCAGAGAGGCTATTCATTCTGTTTTCACCAAGTTGAGGAGTATCAGGGAAGTGGATTACTTTCCAGCAAGAAATTTGCATCCATGCCAAAAACCTTGCATCCATACCAAACACTCCCATGCCAGCTTCAACACACTCTGATTATAAACAGAGTTCCCACTACTGTGCTGCCACAATGCATCCCAGTGCTAAGCTCAACTCTCACCGCACTCTTGCAAAATTTTGCTCTCTGCACATGGCACCTTATCTCTTACGTGTGAGATGACTGTGATGTAAACTGTGAGAGTTATGTGTATTTTTTTAATGTTATTTGTTGTGAGTTTGGATTTCTGTTTTTTCAGTTAATAACCAGAGTGTGTTGCGTTTCTGGAGTTAATATCTGACTTGCATGCATTTCTGTAACCATGGCGTTTTCTTCTAAAAACTGTTTTTGAAGCTTAGCTTTCGAGTGAATGGGGTTTATCCAATAATGGACTATTTTATTTTAGATTATTTGCAACCTAGCGAAATAATGGGGTTTCAAGATTTGATAGAGAGTTCAGCAGCTGGGGGTTTCTTTATGATTAAAGGAAAGGCCTACAGCTGAAAGAGAGAGAGACTTTTAGTTTCACTTTTGGCTTTAAATGGGGCATTCCTGGGAAGCCCTTGGAATGGGATGGCCATGTAAAAAAGTGCTCCAAAGAAGGGAAGGATACATAATGAACCAGATTACCTTAGAATGAAGTGTTAGTCCCAGATCAGACATGTTGGGATAAAGCCC